TATTACAAACGGGAAATCGACAGCCCCAAAATGTTTGGGCTGTCAATTTCCCCCGCGTAATGCAAAATGACTGAAAACGGCAAACTTCGCAAGGCTATATTATCCGCATTTTACAACATTTCGCAACGAAACTTTGGAATATTACTAATTTTGTGATGCTCTTTCAAGCTGTGATGAAATTTTTGTCCAGATTTGTCTAGATCAAAATTTAGTCTATAATGCAAATGGTCCATTCCATCTGCAAAAACACATTCACTATTATTATAGTTTTATCGCACGAGATGCTCAGAATCTCGATATTTCAAACTCATTAATTTATTGAATTCCAGGCGCCGGCCCCAGTGTTTAAAACTTTAGTGGACGATCGACTACGCAAGAAAGGTGGCAATTTAACGATAGAGTCGACGTCCATGGAGGCCTACAAACAAAACAAAGGGAGAACGTCATTCTCAAAACAAAAGAAAACTGTTAAACCAACCTGGTTGAAACCATCGGAGTCGACGACGGAAGACGAGCAGGTTTGTGGTTGAGAAATATTTAGTAGTTGGTAAATTGTATTAAACTCATTAATAGTTCATGAAGGCAATTCAAAAGAAATCAATATTTAATGATGTGTTGTATCCACATACAGTATACAAAATTCACCTGATTCCAAAAACTTTTTTCTCGATTTTCTTGGTTCAAATCATTTCTTTTTTGAACAATCTCTTAAAACACACTACTGTTTCACGATTTACAGGTACATTCACGTCCCTATCAGGCATACTGTACAACCTCTCGAGTTCGTATATCTGCTACAACACGACCGTTCATAATTAAAAACATAAACGTTCTCTGACTAAAATTTTTTATTTAAAACGAGCTTTCGACTACCTAACTGTAGTAAATAAAAAATTCGACTACCTAACTGTAGTAAATAAAACGAGCTTTCGAATTTTAGTCAGAGAACGTTTATGTTTTTAATTATGTCTAAACCTGGCTACGCTATCTCCATATTTTCACGACCGTTCATGCTGTACATATACAATAGTACTTACTAGTGCAGGTACGATTAGAATTTGTATTTGTTTAGAGTACTGCAACTGATGGTCTTAGTCACAGCCGACTTAGAGCAATCCTTAGGGGATATGGAGAATACCCCGCAAAATATAGGTAGGTTTACAGAGCATTTATGTAACATATTGTAACTATAGTTACTTTACCTATACTGGATAGCTCTTTCAGTTCTAAACTATTCCTTTTTGAAATCCAGTAACAGTATAAACGTCATTCTTCATCACTTCACCAATACTTCTTAGCAAAACAATAAAAAGTGAGGTAAAAATTTCGTCAGTTCATAAACACTCTAATCAGACAATTGCATATTGCAGCTAGGAATCGAACCTGGGTCGACTCAGGAATGAAAAGCATTGTGGCACCAACCAGGGTCTTAGCTAGGATTTTAGATCTTGGGCGTGTTTCTAATGACCAGGGCGTGCACATGTCAATTACCTTGAATAGCAAAATCACGGTTCTAGTTATGCTCGCCAACAATAATGCTTGTGGTTGTTCTTTGCTAATTTGCAACCAACCACAAGGCGAGCATACACTCATATTTCGCACTGACATTAAAATATTTAAGTTATTTCAGCAACTGTTTGGGGTATTTAAAACCATTTTAACACCATACAGTTCCCATTATCCATCAAAATAATAAAACATTACGAATCACTTTTGCCAATTGAACAACAACAGTATAGATTTTACAAACTTTCTTACGACGTAAATAGGAAGAAGTTGAGTCTGAAATTCTGTCTGTTGTAAGTGGCACCACCTTAGTTTATGAACCTATACACGGCCTTATATCAATAATGAAGCCGCGTTCATTTTATCTAGCCGTGTTTTTCCGCTTTCGGCCGCGATAACACGGCCAACACGGCCCTCTAGCTAAGACCCTGGCACCAACATCCATATTCCTATATATACCGCATGAGCTCGAGCGTTTGTTTCTTCCTAGAATGTTCATATGGCGAAGTCTTCTACAGCTTCCAGAGAACCATGCTGCATTCTGTAGTTTAGTTGACAAGGGAACTCATTCAACGTTTGTCACACTTCATGAAAACTACCCAATCAAGAGTAGAAAGCTGTTGCGTGTTCTGCAAAGGTTAGTAACATTCAAGCCCCGCTTGTTTGAAATGTATGCTAGTTTTAAAAACACTGCGTTGCTGGCCTTGGATTGCATGCTTTATTATACTGTACATTTGAAAAATACAAGAACCATCCATCCCTCTCTATTTCCCACTACAGCCTTATACTCCTTTTTTAAACCTAGAATTCTCTCTGCCTTGGCTCATTGGTCAGCTGTTTTTGGTGAGACCGAGTTTCTTCCTCTTCTTGTGTTTCCGTTTGTTAAATTATTTCAGAACAACCAGTTGATATGCTTTGAAGTTGTGGCAACTGTCCTAGGTAAGAATCTAATATAATTAATCTAATGTAGTTGTGTGTGATATTATAATCGATAAGCTCATAACAAACTTCGAAGTTACAGGCTGTTCCGTACATTTAAGTTGTCCCACTCTGATAATTAGAGGCAGGGGGCTATCCCCCTCGAACCCCCCCCCCCCACCCATTTTCACCGCTAGGTGGAGCATTCCTCCTTTGTAGGCATCTCAATAGAGATTACTCTATCCAATTTTCTATTTCATATTCAGTAAAATATTTACCTCACTAATTTGCAAACCTTTTGTTTATCTTGCAGTAAACTGGTGTCAGAATTGGTTTGAATTTTTTCCCAATCCTCCAATCAACTTATTGAGCATGGTAGAAAATCTTCTCGTTCATCATGACAAGAATCTCTTACAGCATCTTGTTCAAGCTGACGTCAAATCCCAGGTATTTTTTAGGTATATGTTTATCTCTCTCACGCAACCTAACTACAAACTAATTCTGTTCTGACTAATTTCTAGATATATTGTTGGCCAATAATCGAAACACTATTTTCTGAAGTTCTTACAAAGGAGGAATGGCTACGTATATGGGATCATATCTTCAGTAATCATCCGTCATTTCTGTTATTTCTTGTCGCTGCTTATCTTATATGTTCAAGAAAAGTTCTCATGCAATGTACAGCTAAAGAAGACTTTGAGGTATCCTGTTTGATATCAGAGTACCCAGCCTGCAGTTTATGCACGATGACCCATATATGTGTTACCATAGCTGTAATTGTTCAGTATATGGCCAGTGCTTTACCTTCAAGTGTGTGCGTTGTGTTTGTCTAATGACTAATTGTCTCCTTGTAGTATTTCGTTCACCATCGCAATGCCTGCGATATTTCTGCTGTCATTCAAGAGGCTTATCACCTTCAGAATACCACACCATCTGATATTGATCCAGGGAAAATGTTGGAAGAATTTAAACCTCTCACCAAAGGACAGTATCCGGTGTTTAATAAATATCCCAAGTTTATTGTTGATTATCAGGTACGTTGCTGACGCTCGTGTATGCTAGCTTTAACCCATTGAGTGGCAGCACTTCCCTTGACGAGGAAAACTGTCTGGCGTTAGACAGAGTAAAATAATAAAGTGGGGAGCATCAGGGCGAATTGCCACTTAAAGGGTTAATACATAATCTTGAAGAAGTCTGGGTTGGCTTTACTATAGGGCGGTGTCTTACCCTCAGCGTATCTGTACTCAAATGTTGACACTGTTTCCAACAGGTTCAAGAACGAGAACGAATACGGCAAGAAGAGTTGGAATATCTTCAACAAAGGTAAATCACTATATCTCATCAAAACAATGTTGTTTTATGGTCCTTAATGGACTGATGAAGCTATATCCAGTATATAAATAATGTTATTGTAGTCTAGTTTAGATTTCCTCCATGTATAGTAACACTAGATAAATACTGCATGGACTTCTATGGTTAACAGTTTAAAACTGTCGAGATATTATTAGATTATTGCTGCCTAATGAGGATACATGCATTTCATCCTATAGGCAACTGGCTGTAGAATTAAAGAAGCAAGCTGAAGAAAGAAAAGAGGCAGAAGAAGCCTTTTATCGTAATCAGGAGTTGATGGTGGAGGCTGAAAAGCAAAGACGAGATCTCATCTTACTGGAAGAGCAAAAACTAGCTGATCAGAGAGTCAGGTTGGTATAGTCTGTCGAAATTTTTCAGCGAGTAAGGACTACAGTATATAAGAGTATTGGAAAGCTGTGATGTGAAGAATATACAGTACTGAACGATGTTTTTCGGGTAGTTGAATTATCCTAATTCAGTGTATCAAAAAAAGTAGACAATTTTGAAACGGCTCTCAATTTCACAAATCCGTTCATTTCATGAAATTCTTTATAAATATAGATTGTTTGGGTACTTATATACTATAATGTAGAATAAAAAAAATGCCGTAAAGATTTTCCAGAGCAGGAGGGTGTATTTTTTAGCACCATTAAAAATAGCTTGCGTGCGAAATTTAAAAGTTTAAAACGCATTGTCTATACTTTTTTTATACACCCGGCTGTAGATTTTATGTAGTACGAAACCTATAAAGTGCAAAAACATTGCATGAAGCACACATACAGTATGTCATCTGCCTCGTACCCAGGCGCTTTGGCGATCAAATTAATCCACGCGGCCCATGCAAAGGCCGCGCAAACCATAGAACAACACATAGCGCCTGGGTACGAGGCTGGTATGTAATTCACTCTTGTTTTAGTAGTTTAAAATTTAAAAAAAAAAACCCCAAAAAAACGCCTTGAATCACCGAGTGTTATTTGTCTATGTCAACCGAGTGTTATTTGTCTTATTTGGCTTGCAATCGATTAAATTTTGTGTGCTTTAATCTCGCGTGCAGGTTACAAGCAATGAGACGTGAAGTTCATACGCGAGAGCTACAGTTGATGGATGCTGTGAGAAGAAAATACATGGAGAATCAGAGCAAGTTCAAGGAAGTTGAACTGAAGAGAATGGATGATGAAATACAGCGCAAGGTTAGAGCTTTACAAATATTTCGGCATATCATGTATTTGTATCCTTTCTGCGGGAATAGCACGCCTATACCACCTACAGACCTAGCCAGGAGGGGGGTTTATACCAGAATACCAATATACTCTCGATATTATATTCGCTCAATAGAGCAGTACACCTATGCAATTCTATAGGCTACATCCGTCCGCTTGAGTACTTGATCTTCGGTCAAAGCCTATTTTAACAATAAAATTGTATACCATTAACCTATTTTAACAATAATATTGTATACCAATTAAACCACATAAAGATAAGTCTGTTTTTAAAATTTTTTTAAATTTTTTGTAAATATAATGATATTATATTATAAATTGGATAGATTTTAGATTAGATAAATTCTTAAATAGTGTGTAGAAATTTTCTTACATTTATACATGTAAATTGTCATTGAAAAACCCATTTGGGAATATACAATTACTTTATGGTTTCCGTGTTTGGATGGCCTGATCCAAACACGCGGGAATGTTGCGAGAGTTAAGAAAAGCGAGCGAAATCACGAGCCGAAGGCGAGTGATTTTGCCCGCTTTTCTTAACTCGAGCAACATTCCCAAGTGTTTGGATCAGTCCATCCAAACACGGAAACCATAAAGTAATTGTTTTATAAAATAACAACAACACGGTAGTCTTCCGTGTTTGGATGGCCTGATCCAAACACGGCTTTCGGCCAATCAGAATACGCGTTATATACATGTTATTTTATAATGTCAATTAAGTATAATACTAATAATAATAATAACATGTATACCATACAATGTACCTGAAACCCCTGACCGGGCCTGCAGTTAAATGTTGGTTAAATTTGAATGGAAATTGGATAGGAAGTTAGTAAAAATTTGGCTTGCTTGCTGGGCACAGTAAACTGAATATGTGTTATGGATGATTCCAGCCTATAGACTAAATTTTGATCTCGGCAAGAAGAACAAAATCCATCACCACAGCTAGAAAGAGCATGTTAAAATTAGTAAAATTGCAAAGTTTGGTTGCGAAATGTTGTAAAATGAGGTAGATATATAGCCTTACGAAATTTACAAATTTTGTATTAATTTGTATTACGCACGGGAATTTGCACCACTTTCGGCCCAAATGTGGTGCATTTTCCCGTGCGTAATACAAATTAATATAAAATTTACAAATTTCGCAGGGCTATATTTTCCGCATTTTGCAACATTTCGCGGCGAAACTTTGCAATTTTACTAATTTTAACATGCTCTTTCTAGCTATGGTGATGGATTTTGTTCTTCTTGCCTAGATCAAAATTTAGTCTACTGTATAGCTGGAATTGCCTAGCCCATTGTATAATTTAGGACGATGTCTCTGAGTGCCTTCTGGTTTTCATTATTTCTTGATTTAATAATTTTCAAGGACAAAGTTATTTTGGTGCATTATCGTGCATACAATATTATGTTATCATCTGTATGAAACAATACAAAGAATAATATACTATTTTTTATTGCCTAAATACGTAGTATAGTGACGCACTTTCATAGATTAATCATAAAACATCTGCGGTATTTAGCAACTTGCAATTAATGGGGCTGATTACATGGATATTTTAACAAGGGGCTAGTGATTACATAGATATTTTAAAAAGGGGCTGATTACATGGATATTTTAACAAGGGGCTAGTGATTACATGGATATTTTAACAAGGGGCTGATTACTTGGATATTTTTATATGTTACAACGTGAAATGTTAGCCACCAGGCTAACCGGGCTGAAATTTCAGGGTTTGCGCTAAAATCCTTGTAAAAGTAAACGGAGTTTCCATGAATTACACGACACATTTTCTACCCTGCATGGATGAAATCAATTGGGATGAAAATTGCACCTGGTTCACCGGGCTGAAATTCGTCAGATATAATTGTCAAGAAATTTCCGCCCGGGTTGAAGAAACAATCTTTTAAATATGTTCAAATGGCTACATTTTTGTTATGGAGTTCTATCTCCAAATGCAATCACAGTCTCGCACCAGTCAGTATTTTAAAAAGCCCGGATCAAACCAGGTTTAGCTGGTTAGCTGTAGCCTCCTCCGCAGGCCTCTCTATGGGTTTTAGCCTGCGAATGGGTTTTGAAAAAAAAATTTACCCGATTCCTCGGGTGAGATGCCTGCACAGGAGGCTATAGGTTAGCTGTTCTTAGCACTCATTCATCTTAGTTGGAACACAAATTAAACCTTTATTTTGTTAATCTAGAGTTTAAAATGTCCCCATTAACAATTCGTGACTGCCAACTCTCGTCATCATTTGACCGGCTTAAATGATTGAAAGTGGGTTGGAAATGAGCCTGCATGTATGGTTTTCATGTAATCAACCGCAAATCAATAAGAAGTAATTGCATACATGTCAGCCAAAATTAATATTTATTGTGTTACATATATGCATAATACAGTAAAATACGACCAATATGATAAATCGATTTTTTTAATGTTTAAAAAGTAACTACAAACCGGCACTTCGATATAGGGACATATAATAGGCTATATATAGTCCATATAGAACTTTTGCAATAGCACTTTTAGCAAATCGCAATTTAATCAATTTTAATGCGACGCTTAAATAAATGAATATCCAGCTGTGGCGAAGAGGAAATGTTTTTCAATTGAAATACTTTATTTTTTAACTTTAATGTGTTATGAACCTATAAGCAGTTATGCCTTTTGCCTATTTTTATTTTCTATTTATTTTTTTGACAATGCAACGCCATGTTGTCGAAATGTTTTGAAAACGATGTTTAGTCCAAAATAGTGCAATATAAACATTTTAAAAGACCGCACAGCACGATATTCTGATACCTGCCTCCTTTTAAAAGCACTTTAAATATTTTATTCCTCCGCTTCAGGATTAAAAAATGATGAACTATAACGTTCATTATCACATATGTGCTAAAATACTGACAGTTTTCTGAAGTGAGTCTCAAGATGCAGGTGTGTGTGAGAAATTAGTGCATGTATACATATTTGCTCACTAACTTTGAATGTCGAGAGCCCCAAAAATTCACTACGAATTCGTACCAAAAAGTACTGTAAGGCAGAAGACAGATGCCTAATTGTTTACTATGAGCCACGCCAAGGGCAGGGCCGAGATAATTGGGATACGACCGATACGTTCACATAGTTTACATCTGTTGGCATAAGCCAACGATCGCAGTGCCCCCTGACTTTCTGGTTTAGGTCAGGTCTAGGCTACCCAAAGTTTGTTTACACTTTACTTACAATAGTGTGAACACAGTTAGAATGTCTGTAATCTGGCGACAATTGTCCTAGACTGGAATAATTAAACATTGGGAAAATGTCCGTAGTAGTCGATTAACAATGCTCTTCAAACCCTCGTTTTATATATACCACATTTTAAGTCATCCCCATCCAAGTATTTTAGTTTGATATATTGCAATTCATGTCCATTTTGAATTCGGCAAATCTACAGAACGCCTAAATGCTTTGTGACACCATGCACCCAACTGTGCATTGGCCCAACTATACGTATATATTCACAATATTACATTGAAAGTCATTATTTTATTTTTCAAAAATGTGCGTATATGCCCATTAACCTGCTCCACCCCTTTATATGCGTTATCAAAATGTTGTTTATTATGGATGCCCTTAACATGTAAAATAGCAAGAATTATCAATGAGAATTGACGTATATATAGGTGTTTTTCTTCCTCACAAATTAATCATACATTAGCAGGTATATGACTGATCGAGTACCCAAGGGTAACTGTCATTTCATGATGGCGAACAGCACAGCTACTACGCAATATCTACAAGGCCCAACAGAATCGATATTTCTTGCCAGTTTTACGTCAATTCAATGTGTGATTGGCTCGATCGCAAATGCTATTGTAATTTGCTACTTTTTACTGAGGCGAAAGCAGTCATGTAAGCCATCTGACAAACTGATTTTAAATTTGGCTATGGCAGATTTCGTGGCTTTGACTACCTACGTTCCTTGGCGAGCGTATCTCCTGTATCTGCGGAAAAAGACCAAGAATTCTCCGTACTACACTTCACTTTTTGTTACCTGTATCTTCTGCACTGGAAATGCTGTATTACTGATGGCCCTAACAAGGCTATTTGCCGTCCTCTTTCCATTGAAATACAGAGCATTTTTCACGAGTAAAGCGGTAAACTGCTTGATAGGTTTGTCATGGATTACTGCTATCTTATTGGGAATTGGTCATCGAATAAGTTGGAGAGACATGGGCGATTTTCACTTGAACTATGAACTATTCCTATCATTCTTATCCTTTTGTCAGCTCATATCAATCCTGAGTGTCTATGCGATGATTCTTAGATCAGCGAAGCAATCCCAAAGCTTATTCAAACAGAGGTCATTTAAAATTTCACGGACAACCTATGTTATTGTTTTTTTCTGTTATGCAACGTTTTTGCCATATACGGTATATCGAATTGTTTCAAATACGGATAAATCTCTGACGAACGATCAAAAACGAGCAACATGGCGGTGGATAATCGCTTTCAGCTTTCTTAATTCCTGTTTCAATCCTTTTCTGTACTTTATAACTACGAAAAAGTTTAAACGAGAGTTAACTAGACGACTTGTGAAAAGTGCCCATAAACACAGTGAGACAAACACTAGAGTGATGGAAGAACGCGTTTAGAACTTCAATGTAAATTGTAGTCAGTTGTTATTATCGCGGTATTATTGTTATTATTTATTTAAGTATATTATAACTGATATATTTTCATGCTAAACTATACTAATTATCGTCCTAAACAAAACAAAAATGATCAAAACACTGTAATTTTGAAAACAAATTGCATTGCAGCTATCGTGATTCCAAGGAGAATTGGACACTCCAGAACTTCTGTCTTCGTTTTCGATGTACTATTTAAAGCACGGGTAGGAGTGTTTTATCACATATAAAACACGACGCGTAGCGGAGTGTTTTATATGTGATATAAAACACGACGCGTAGCAGAGTGTTTTATGTGTGATAAAACACGACTACAAGTGCTTTAAATAGCTTCAAAAACGACTCATGTTACACGAGTTCATTGGCGAAGTAATTTTTAAAATAAACTTTGCCTAAACCGAGAAAATCAAAGCTAAAGTTTATGTAAATTAACAGTATTCACAGGCTTTTGGTATAATCTTATATATTCATTAGAATAGTTTTTAAAAAATACCTCTTAACACTGTTAAACCCAACTTTGTGTTCGGCGAAAGCACAAAATGTGCTTCGGCTCGTGTGCGGGACCGGAAGAAAACGAGAACACACTTTGTTTGTCTGGACTCTGGACGCGAATCCGAAGCTGAGCAACCAACCAAATTGCGCGAAAAGCTAAGCTCCCAAGTATATGCTAACTTTATTTCTACACTTCAGATAGAGACATAACAGACAGTGTAAACTGTAAAGGATATGCTGGAAAACATAAGCAGAGCTTCGACGTTTCCGGCGAAGGAGCGGAAGGACTCACTCGAAACGTCGAGGTTCTGGTTATGTTTTTCCGGTATAGTTGTTTATCCGTCTCTGCACCGCAGCTAAATAGTTTGTATTCCATAGTATTGTATGCATGTGCGAAGGCGTGCTAATGAACAAAATTTTGATCTGGACTAGAATTTCATCACAGCTTGAAAGAGCATCACAAAATTAGTAATATTCCGAAGTTTCGTTGCGAAATGTTGTAAAATGCGGATAATATAGCCTTGCGAAGTTTGCCGTTTTTCAGTCATTTTGTATTACGCACGGGAAATTGATACGTAACCGCTTTCTGAAAAAAGGTATCAATTTCCCGCGTTTGTGATGCTCTCTCAAGCTGTAATGAAATTTTTGTCTAGATCAAAAATTTTTTCATTAGGGAATAGGTCCATTAATAACTCGAACGGTTTGTGTCAGCGCAGGTATAGTGACAATAATACCAGAAAGCTGCTGATTGAAAGAGATTCAAAACTTCGACGTTTCGAGCGAAGGCCCTGCGTCAGGAAGTTATAGTAGCCTGTGACGAAGGGCCTTCGCTTACAACGTCGAGTTTTTACTTGTACTTTCAGGTAGTCCAATCTAGCAGCTTTCTGGTATTGTTCAGAGTTTGTCAATAAGTCAAGATGTGTTCACATTGCAAGTCTGGAACAAGTTGCTATCATCTTGTAACAAGGTTGATGTGGCCAAACAGACTCGACGAGACCTGATATCGTCTGCACGTAACTAGTTGTTAACAAGTTGATGACAACAAGCTCGTAGCAACTTGTTACGAGCAGCCTGTAGTCAGTGAGCTCTATATATATACCTGGAGTAGGAACTTCTAATGTTTTGGCAATAGGCCAAGTGAAGCCAAAAAAATCCAAGATGGCGGCCATTGACGTCCCATAGCTCTGAAGGTCGTAAACAGTTTTTATACCATTTTCCCAAGCTAATTCCAGTTTTTTCTAATGGACCGTATCACTAATCAAATTTTCAGTTCATAAAATCACAATATTATTCTTTAAATCGAAGTCAAAATACGAAATTTCAACACACTCCTTGCCAAGATGGCGGAAATTGAAGGAGCTCTTGGACGTCAGTTCCAGTCTCTTTCTATTGTTTTTGTATGCGCGGTTAACACGAAACTGGCTTCACTTTGAGCAACCAAGTTCCTACTCCAGATATATATGGAGCTCACTGCCTGTAGTCTGCAGTAGTCTTGTTGGAACAACTTGTAGCAAGTATGTCATCCTCATCAACCTTGTAACAAAGTGATATTAACAACGTGTTCCATACTTTTTTGTATTGTTGGTGTTATGTGTACTCAGGTGAATATGATGTTTGTGATGTTACTCTGAGTGTGCATCCACACCGGGCAAGCTGAAAAGTTTGCTTGACCACGGTGGGAATCGAACCCGCTACCTTTGGGATACTAGTCGAATGCTCTGCCAACTGAGCTACGTGGTGCGAACACATCGATCTGATATCGGCTTGATAACAGCCTTGTTTCGATCTGATATCAGCTTGTTTGCAGATCTGAAACAACTTGCGCGTTTTTACGTCTGTACAGTTGTGTGATTAAACTTTCATTTCGATCATGTATGACTAAGAATGCGTCTTGTTTGAAAACCGATAGGAATCTTCTCCTGGAGTATGTGATTTTACTCCGAAGAGATGTTATCGATATTCGACAGGTATGAACCAATGACGTAGTTTCGTATAAGGAATTTATTCCGTAATTTCATTCTAGAATTTGGAACTTGTAAACAGACTAACGAATTCATACGCACGCAAAAGTTGAAATCCATTTGAATGTCACTAATGAAATGATTAAATGAATGAAAGGACAGCATTTAGTTTTGTGTATGATTTTAATTATGTATTTGTTGAGCTAATTTGTACTTAATATAGAAAATTTAACTATTACAGGGCGTATACGCTTGAATGCACACATTTAATTGGACTGTAACCTTGAATATGTTCGTAGACATAGCCAATCTAATGTTTTTCTAATTGTCACACATGCTCAAAACGAGGCTTCCTCATCGATATTATTACTCAGCATTTCAGATGACGGGTTGTTATTCTCCGAGTCACGCTTGAGTAATATCTCTTCCTCGTCTGAAATTTCATTCTCTGCCAAGAATTTTCGGCTTAAAAGACTTGAACTTTTCTCCGCATTTCCGTAACTTAGACAACAGACAGGCAACTTATCACACTTATACAAACAGTTTGTGACCATACAAAGAAACAGAACTACGCCTGACCAGCATAATAAATGCCACATTATGCTGATGGTGATAACCTCGGTGTCGAGCATAAGTTGTTTTTCAGTCAAATCCTTTTCAGCGTCTCCAAACCATTTGTTCGAGCCGTATATGGTGTAAGCGATTTCCCAAAACCATGTTCCTTGCGTGAGCACGAGAACGGTTCGAGCCATAAAGAGCTCGCGACGAAATTTCGGCAAACACGCTTCGAGTAAAATTACCAAAGCAGCTAAATATATTACGATGTATAGAAGAGTATGAATTCGTACGTCAAACATATCGCGGCCGTGTAAATGAAATGCGAATAGGGTGCCTTCCACACCAAAAGCTAAGGCTAGGATGGCGTATTCCGCTTCTCGTGAAAACTGCGTGACTTTGTAGAGGTTAAGAATCTCGATTAAACCAGAGAATGCAAAGAAGCCATACATTGAAGAGTGAGCGAATTTATCCGGTTTCACAAATTCGTTGTTTTTGTCAACAAGTTGGAAATGTACAGCTCTGAGCTCTCCTATGATCCCTACCAAAGCGCCAAAGAGTTTTAAAAGCGGTTCAAACGGAATGTTCCTTAAACGTTTCGATGGAAACCTTCTCCATGATCTTGTGTTTGACCGTTCTCCCCGATTCTTTCCTTGCTCTTTTAAACTTGCTGTGTATTCCATAATGGCATGAAACATCCACCATAAACCACCAACTATAAATAAGCTTCCTGGCAATGCATGGCCATTGAAAGAGCCCATTTTGTGTCCTTTTTTAAAACGGTGTTTCTCAATGTTGTGATATTTAAAGTGCGTTTAGTCACAGTTCAGTGGATGTTAAATTGGAATTAATTAAACGGCTAGTGTGCAAGAATTTGACTATTTATGAATAATGCAGTTCAAAGACAAAGAGCAAGTCGTGATATTGAGCATGTTGCTTGAATAATAATAGCGTTGGCAGTTTATTAGAGATAAGCTAAGCCCAATTCTGTTGTGAATGTGTGATACAAATACAATTTCCCTGTTTAAAGCCCGTGAAAAAAACTTTCAACGAAGTAACAGTACTGTCAGTTGCTAAATAAATAATCAATGATGGCTATAGAGCGTTGGCACATGACGTCACAGCCGCCATGTTGGTGTTCCAATTCAAAAGAATTTTAATTAGACTGGGGAATGAGTGCAAACGATCTTTCAATGATATAAAGCTCTTTATTCCTCTTGCACCTAAATATTTGTGGTGTCCTTGAGCCAGTTGTTCAAAGGTGGGTTAGCGCTATAACCCTGGGTTAAAATTTATTTCAAAACTTCAGAGAAGTGAACTCCTACTGATCCAGACAAGATTCCTGAAGAAATGTTTCCAAATTTATAGACAAGCTCTCAGGAAGCTTGCTTTAAATTTTAGGATAACCTAGGGTTAAGCTAACCCAGCTTTGAACAACTGACCCCAGGAGTATTACGCAAAACAAGTGCACCGTAAGCGCGAAGACTATTTTTGACCAAATACCAAGGCTTATGAATTAAGAATTCCTGGCGTTTAACAAATTGTTTGCCGTGGTCTGTTCAGTTATAGATACACAATATGACGTCATAATATGGGAAGAACGAAAAAGTGACCCACTCACCTCCGTTATCTATTTGTTTTATATAATAAAAAGACCCCCCTCCCCCCAATTAAACAGGTAAATCGCTTACTTTCTATCCACCCGTTGTGTACATACATGAACTTGTGGTTGGAGCTCGACAACTGGCCTCTGTAGCTCAGTTGGTTAGAGCTCGACAACTGGCCTCTGTAGCTCAGTTGGTTAGAGCTCGACAACTGTCTCTCTGTAGCTCAGTTGATTAGAGCTTGACAACTGTCTCTCTGTAGCTCAGTTGATTAGAGCTTGACAACTGTCTCTCTGTAGCTCAGTTGGTTAGAGCTCGACAACTGTCTCTCTGTAGCTCAGTTGATTAGAGCTTGACAACTGTCTCTCTGTAGCTCAGTTGGTTAGAGCTTGACAACTGTCTCTCTGTAGCTCAGTTGGTTAGAGCTCGACAACTGTCTCTCTGTAGCTCAGTTGGTTAGAGCTCGACAACTGTCTCTCTGTAGCCCAGTTGGTTAGAGCTTGACAACTGTCTCTCTGTAGCTCAGTTGGTTAGAGCTTGACAACTGTCTCTCTGTAGCTCAGTTGGTTAGAGCTTGACAACTGTCTCTCTGTAGTTCAGTTGATTAGAGCTTGACAACTGTCTCTCTGTAGTTCAGTTGGTTAGAGCTTGACAACTGTCTCTCTGTGGTTCAGTTGGTTAGAGCTTGACAACTGTCTCTCTGTAGCTCAGTTGGTTGGAGCTCGACAACTGGCCTCTGTAACTCAGTTGGTTAGAGCACTGCACCGGAATCGCAGGGTCGCAGTTTCGATTCCTGCCAGGGACCTAAATCTGCATTCTTCGGCCAGCTGTTTCTGGTTAGATCTAGTAAAACTTTCCACTCGATAATTTCCATCTCCAAGACGCTTCAACTACTTTTCTATTACACACTTCTTGTTTTCAGTGCATCAAAAAAAATTTACGGTGTCCAAACAAAGTTTGGCATAGCAGTATATATTCACTGCGTGAGTTTGTTAGTTAGTTTGTTCGTAGTCATAAACCTTGGTATTCACTCACTATAAATGTCTTCGCCCTTCTGATGCACTTGTTTTGCGCATGCTCCCGGGCACCGCACTGTATGTAGTAAATCATTTGTAAATTAATTATAAAATAACTTGTAAATTAGTTATGAAAAGCTCATGTTTTGAGATAACTAATAAATATGTATGTATGTATGTAGTACTATGTTTGGTTAGCGAGTCTTCTCGGTAACCGGGATCGTATGGGCAGACTCTTATGCCCGCTATAAATAACTTCAGCCTCAATTAATATGTCTATAGGTTATAGCTAATCTAATGTTTTTCTAATTGTCACACACGCTCAAAACGAAGCTTCCTCGTCGATATTATTACTCAGCATTTCAGATGACGGGTTGTTATAGTCTCCCTCGAGTCGCGCTTGGATAATATCTCTTACTCGTCTGAAATTTCATTCTCTGCCAAACATTTTCCGTTCAAAAGACTTGAACTTTTCCCCGCATTGCCGTGACTTAGACAACAGACAGGCAACTTATCACACTCATACAAACAGTTTGTGACGATACAAAGAAACAGGACTACGCCTGACCAGCATAATAAATGCCACATTATGCTGATGGTGATAACCTCGGTGTCGAGCATAAGTTGTTTTTCAGTCAAATCCTTTTCAGCGTCTCCAAACCATTTGTTCGAGCCGTATATGGTGTAAGCGATTTCCCAAAACCATGTTCCTTGCGTGAGCACGAGAACGGTTCGAGCCATAAAGAGCTCGCGACGAAATTTCGGCAAACACGCTTCGAGTAAAATTACCAAAGCAGCTAAATATATTACGATGTATAGAAGAGTATGAATTCGTACGTCAAACATATCGCGGCCGTGTAAATGAAATGCGAATAGGGTGCCTTCCACACCAAAAGCTAAGGCTAGGATGGCGTATTCCGCTTCTCGTGAAAGCTGCGTGACTTTGTAGAGGTTAAGAATCTCGATTAAACCAGAGAATGCAAAGAAGCCATACATTGAAGAGTGAGCGAATCTATTCGGTGTCAGAAATTCGTTGTTTTTGTCAACCAGTTGGAAATGTGTAGGTGACTGGGAGAGCTCTGCGATAATTCCTACCAAAGCGCCAAAGAGTTTTAAAAGCGGTTCAAACGGAATGTTTCTTAAACGATTCGATGGAAGCCGTCTCCATGATCTTGTGTTTGACGGTTTTCCTCGATTCTTTCCTTGCTCTTTTAAACTTGCCGCGTATTCCAAAATGGCATGAAACATCCACCATGAACCAATAACTATAAACAAGCTTCCTGGCAATGCATGGCCATTGAAAGTGCCCTGCATTTTGTGTCCTTAAAACGGTGTTTCTCAATGTTGTGATGATTTCACAGTTCAGTAGATGTGTATACTGCCAAATTGAATTGGAATTTATTTGACTAGCGTGCAGGAATTCGATTATTTATAAATAACGCAGTTGAAAGAGTCATTATAGCACGTTATTTGGATAATGAACAGCGTGGACACTTTATTACAGTATGAAGTATAGGAAGAAGAAGAAGTTTTCCACTAGGCGGAATTTGCGCGCGAAGCGGAATTTTTCTTTGACTTGTGATTTCTTGGGGGGGGGGGACTAATCAGAAAAGACAAAGAAAATTGGTCCATAGGGGACGGAAATAATCCTTCCAAAATTAGGATCAGGGGAATACTCTACTGGTTGTGTGGTTACTATATACATCCGAAGGAGCAAAGTGTCCCTATTAGAGAGTTGTCTGCAAGGAGATATTCAATTGTATTGTGATTGTATATACCCATCTATATATTTCTGCAGGCAATGCAACGAGAACAGGAAACACAAGCTGCTCTGGATGATATTGAAATAAAGAATCTGGAACTGCAGGCCCAGAAAGAGGCACTTCAACATGTATGTTTTTATGATAGAATAGATATAAAGTCCAAAGAATGAGTTACTGCATGGTATGGAGAATTTTGTGTCATTTTTAAAACAATGGAAAGACAATGGAACATTCGGATCACTGGATGAGTGTTTGGATGGCATGGAGAACAGTGGCATTTTCAAACGATGAAAAGACAATGCAACGTTCGGATCACTGGATCATGACTGGATGACAATATCGTTATGCTACATGCTACCTTTGCTGAACCACACGATCATCTGGTCACGATCTAGTGGTCGGAATTTTTCATTGTCCCGTTGCCTCCTTAATTTCCCGCTTCAGGTGCGGAGTTCGTAATAAAATTTTGCGTTCGTATGCTTCCACGTACAGGGCTTAGCGAAGGAAGACGTGAAGACAGCATTTCAGTTGAAGGCAGATTTTGAATCACATCAACGTCAGAAAGACTTGGAAGATGAATTGTTTCGTCGAACAACCGAAATGAGAGAGGAAATAGATTTGAATAATAATATGGTATGTAGATTTAGGAGTTCATTCTTTGAATTCTATATGTCCACGTACTGCAATTTCTCGATCAAATGGACCTATTCCCTAATGAAAGCGGTATCAATTTCCCGTTTGTAATACAAAATGACTGAAAAACGGCAAACTTCGCAGTGCTATATTATCCGCATTTTACAACATTTCGCAACGAAACTTCGGAATATTACTAATTTTGTGATGTTCTTTCAAGCCGTGATAAAATTTTTGTCTAGATCAAAATTTTGTTCATTAGGTAATAGGTTCATTCAGATACACGGAAGTGGGGTCGCCCGGATAGTGATTTTTTGAACCTCACAATCAATAAAAAGAAACTTTAATCTATATAAATATTGATATTGAAATTTAATCTTACCAATCAACAGCCATTTTTAGAAATAGAAAGCCTGAAAATCACTATCCGGTGGATAGCACTATCCGGCCTTCGTACAACCCAGGTTTCTTATAAATTCGGCTATTCTTCTCCAATCTGGGAGAATCTTTGCAATTTTTTTGGCTAAATAACTAAACTTGATCGTTTCCATAATTCGAGGTAAGACATGGTCGTTTGGGACACGCACAGCAGAGAAACCTGGATTTGGAAACACAAACTGACCTGGAACTCCGGAAAAGACTTGACGATATGGAAACGGAACTACAGCAGACACAGGTATAAGAATCAAAGACTCGTTGGCAAACATGTTGGTCCAGCATCATCCAACATTGCTGGATAATCGGGCCGATTTCAGGTTTCGCTGAATGTTAATAACGAATGTTGTCAGTTGACGATGTCGTCAGATGACGTTGACAGCGTATTTTTCAAATATCATTTAATTAAATCTGAATCGGCCCGATTAATCGTTGTGTGTAAATGGACCTTAAAAATGGTATGATACACGGGCAAATTTCGCCTAGCGTTGGGCTGTATGTCGGGGCCGTTGAAGTCATCTGAGGTAAAGATAGAAAAGTTCACGAATTTCATGGCTGATTGATTGGTGACCACGCCCTTTTGTCGGGCAAGAAGAACTCACCCCTCCCCCTCCCCCCCTAATGCGTACAGTCAAGTTGCAACCCTGGGTGGATGCAACAATGTTGGACCATGTTGACCTTTTCAAACGGACACTACCCCAGCACACCATGCAACAATGTTGAAAAATATGGGTCAACTGCTTATTTCTCAAATCTATTTTTATTCCACAAAATGTATCCAAATTGAAAGTCTTTGCTTTAAAACATTTGCGAAGGGAACATATTTGGATGGTGTACGTCATGGGAGAACCAACATTAAATGATATCATCTTTGACCAAAAATTGGGCGAGAATTTTAAACTTTAGTAAGCCTGCAGACTTATTTTAAAAGTAAATAATCACGTGTGGTCCTTTTCAGTTGACTAAACGTATACTTGAGAACAAAAGTCAAGAAGAGGAAATTGCAAAACTGATCGAAGACAGCAAAAGTAAAGAGGTTAGTGAACTCTAGTCTGGGAAACACGCCGATATCAGAAGTGAGAGCAACTCTAATCCAACAGAATTACCTCTAAGGACGAAGACATTTATTTTTTAAACGAAATATACTCGGAATAATAGTGGCCTCGAAAGAACTATTTAAGGAGCTTTCGTAATTTATGTGGTGGGGGCTATGGATTTTGCGTTTTGAAAGATTATTTTTAATAACCCCCGCCCCTCTTTATACCTGGAACCAGTTGTTCAAAGGTGGGTTAGCACTATAACCCTGGGTTAACTTTAACCCGCTGTTTTAGTTTGTATATTTCTGCACGTCTGTTTATTTCAAAACTTCAGAGAAGAAAACTCCTATCGATCCAGACAAGATCTCTGAAGAAATATTTCCAAATTTATAAACAAGTTGTCAGGAATTTTGCTTTGAATTTTACGTTAACCTGGGGTTAAGGTAATCGGCTTTTGAACATCCAGCCTCTGGCATATTTTTCAGTAACCCTCCCCAACCAAATAAAAATTTTGAAAACACACTAATTTTCATGAGCCTCTAAATCCCCCATAGCCCACCCAACCACAAAATTACTCATGAATTGCATTGTTGACTTCAGGATGGTATAAGTCTTAGTATGAAAGCTGAGCTGGCCAGACAAAAATATCTCTCAAGAATGGCAGAAGAACGTCGATTATATCATCTTAACACGCAGTCAGAATACAGTACGCCATCTAGGGAATCAGAGGAAATGTCTGGTATGTAGAAAACTTTCTTGCTTCTGAGAAGAAGAAACTTTCAATTACTTCTAGAATTGATGCTTTATTCCACAGGTCCTTCACTAGAGAGGCAGAGAGCGACATTTGAAAAGAGAGAAATTGAATTGATGGCTGATGTTAGAGAGTTACGTCGTAAGCTGGCGGAAAGACTCATAAAACCATCACGACTTTCATACGAGGATGCTGAGGCATCGTCTTCAATACAGAATGCTAATGTTGACTAACATGTACAGTGCTTCACAGACATGCTTGCAAAGGTAAGCCAAGTTAATTAATCAGCTTGTGGCTGAATGGGGATATTCTATATATGTATATAAGCAGAATCGCACAATGGTGTAAATATTTTGATTTTTTTCTTCTAAAACTCAACATTTTTTACAATTCACGCGGTTAGAATAATTAGAACTTTTTGTCAAACGTACAATGTATGGGTTCAGAACAATTGCAAAAGGAAACTATCAGTCTTGTTTATATATGTTTACAGCCATGTATAACGGTTGGTTCTGCCATGCTAATTGTTGAAAATGTTTTGTATGTAAGCTAAGTGTTTTCAAGTATAAGCTTATGTTGAAATCAAAGTGTCTTGGTTTTAAACTTATGAATAAATTGTGATAACTTCATGTCCACTTCCTTTCACTAAAAGAACTCTCTTTAAACCTTCTGTCATAACTTCAACAAATTCCATATCTGAAAACATCGTTAAGGTCATTCAACATATCAACAATTTCTTTTGGGATTTTGGATCATTCCATGAATGTGATTCGACTACTAAGTTAAACACAATAAGATCATCCGTCGCACTTTTGACCAAACATCCTCCGGGGGTTGGTGACTTCATCTACAGCACGTCGAGCCTGAAATGGATTTTCCCATCTAGTGTGGAGTCACTGACTCTGATCTGATTAAAGGATGGTCCTGTTCGGGACTTAGCATAGGCTCTCATCAACCTCATTCCCCAACAGCACCCCAATGCCTACGGTGTCTCATACTGCCTTTGAGATAGCCTATGTGGCTTAAGACATAATTAATCCGAATAGCCGAGCTGATAAACCTTGCTTCTTATCACTTAAGATCGCACAAGGCTGGTACTCGATCAGATATACACGTAATTAAAAACAAAGGATACAATGATAGTCACCAGACTCATCTTTAGCAGGAGGTGGTAAATTAAGCAGTACTAGTTGTGCTTCAGATGATTTCTCTTTTATTAACTTGTTTAACTTCACTGCGTTGTCCATACGCTGTAAATTCATCTGGCTTCTGAAAGAAAAGATAAGGCTATTGGAATGAGGCTGAGAGAATGAATAACGATATTTATTGAAGGATCCACAAAGCTAACAACAATAGTTCAGGAGAGTCGCCCTTTGTAATACATGTAATATATGGAGTGATAAAGATGCAGAGAATATAATTTCACTTGGACACTTACGGGTGTTCTTTATTGGGCTCACCGCCACCTCCCTGTTGGCTTGTGTCCGTTGAGGACGATGTATGTACTTGAATGCTGGGGACAGGTGTATCAGGTGGTTGAGGTGTGGACGTATGACCTTTCTTCGTTCTATGATGTGTCTCTACGATAGCTTGAACTTCTTTTCTGCTTTCTTTCCTTGTCAGTCTCATTTGTTTCAACATATTGCTTCGTTGTTCCATCACTAGTGTTCTTTCATATGTGTAAGCTTCTATATCTGTATCCACCTACGGGAATGGAAAGCTGGAACTCAGAGACTATCCTTTTTAGCATATAGTCGGGAAATGGATAGTACGTTTCGCGCAATTTGATTGGTTGCTTAGCTCCGGATATGCACTATTCCTCTCTGGACCAAAATAGAATGTCTTTCCGTTTTGTTCCGCTTATACAGACTAGTCTGCTCGCAGACTGCATCCCCCCCCCCTGGTTCGGGGGTGAAGGACAGTTTGTGCGCAGACTAGTTACAGACGAGTAAATTGTTTTACTACTAGACGAAGCTGAAGTTCGGCCAAACACAAAGAGAAGCCACAAAGTTTAGAGGTATACCAGTGTTTAGAGGTATTCTTTAAAACTATTTCTAATGAATAAAATTAAGTCAAATCGCACACTTCACATTGCGTTTCACTGAAGGTTTGCCGTTCACGAGACGAATAAATTCAACACGATACGGTTGAAATGGAAAACCGCCCCAGACCTACCATTTCAATTACTTCTACGTCGGCTTTAATTCGAAGTTGGTAAACGAACGTCTTCAGATCTTTTGCCATCTGAACACTATTATCTTGCATTTCTGTTCGTCTGTTACGGAAAATATCTATCATTTGTATATCTCCATTCAATACATCATTCGTTCATTTCGTAAAGGAAATCAGACCTACAAAATACATTTCTCTTCCTGGCAACAAAATCGGAAAAAATTTTCCTGCACATGTAGATTTCAAAGAATGTATGGTGCCACATATTTAGCCTCCTCCGTAGGCAACTCTTGTTTCCCACTCACAAATCCCAAATATATACCGACCTTTCTACCAGAAGAGACAATATTTTTGTCGAATTTGGAATTTGTACGACTACATTAGGAAACATAAGGGGACATTGCGATACAAATGTTGTTTTATGGGTTATGGGTGGTTAATACGGGCGGGCGTTTGCCAAGCCCTTACTGTTTCTTTCTGCTCGGCCAAACTTTCGATATGGATTGAAAGCGTGAAATAAATTAAATTCTTTTTTGGTAGAAAGGTAATTATATGGCATTCCAGTATATAAGATGACAAGAGAATTTCCTGCGAAAATTTAATGATATGCTGCTGGACATTTTTCACCACTGGAGGAAATTAAGGTCTACTACGAGTCTCAAAACTACGTCAAACTAGAAAGGATACGTGCGACAGTAAAAATCCTGAGGTTACACTGCCTCCATACTTTATGTTGTGATAATAAAAATATCAACAGGATCATCATACCACCATCATGTACCACCCACCATACATCTACTGTGCCTTCAAGACGTTCACTGTTGTCTGGATACGTGACAAGATTCTTGGCCACCAATAGAGCTTCGTGACGTTTTGATATAACACGTAATGTATCTAGAAAAGGTGATGCCAATGTGAGATGTATGTGGCGAAATATCAACAGGAATTGGGGTATCTGACAATAATGGAAACAATCATGGCAACTCTGTTTGCTGAACGTTTTTGATAGGGTATGGTGGTGGCACAGTGTACATGTATAGTTAGTAGATGCACCTTCAACCTCTGCATGTGATGGGTGTTCGATTCATAGGTTTTGTCCAGGCACTCCCATTTCCTCCAATGGCAACACTGTACATATCAATAGAGAATAGCCCTTACTAGATCTCAGTCGAGAATGGTGGAGAACTATTAGAGCGATGGTACAATACATTTATAAGTCGTTATATCTGATATTCTTTTCATTCTGATGAGGCACAACATTGTACTGTAACGATTATCCACATTTTAAGTCAAGGGCATGGCATTTGATTTTGGGTTACTATTTTATACTGCCATCTTGGCTTTCTTAGATCACTCATAGTCGTAGCGATTTCTTACAGACAAATTTTTTCCAAGTATCTTTTTCCTTCCAGTTCTCCGGCCAAGCCATGAGTACAGAATTTGCTGTGAGGCCACCTAAACCGTTGTTCTGAATTCTGCAGGAGAAAAGAACATGTTTTTGTATACTTGTATAAAAACTCGGTGTGCTACAGATTTTTGTAAACATAGTGAGATGTTTACTTACAGGAATGACAAGCCACTGTTTATTTCCTTGGAAACAATAACTTTGGAAAATCCTTGTACTTTGTTGTTCTTCATAAGTTGATCTAAACACTGCATACAGATAAAGATAGAAAATCGTAACAATTCAAAGATCTTTCCTAGCAAGCCTTCAAACGAGAAAGCTTTACAGGTTTTCACTGTTCTCCATGCACAGAAATTTTCGGCAATGTTCACATGCACAGATTAAACATCTTCTGCTTACAGCTTTGGCAACATCTACTTCTTCGTTTCTTTCAAGTATATCTCCTTTGAGTACGGATGCGGCGATGGTGAGGCCACGACCTACAAGACGAGATTAGATTTTACTTAATAAAGAGTAAGAGATTACGTGCTAACGACAGATGTGCTATCCATGCAGTTTTCAATTTACAACACTCATCAAGAACTCAAAAACATACCTGCTTTTAACTGTCCCACAAACGCAAAGAGATTATCAGTTTTGGGTTTCAAGTCTTCGTTCAATTTGCAAAGAACGAGTAGCTGTGGTCTAAAGTACAAATATAGTACAACGTCATCATACACTGTTAGAAAGTTGGTGTGCATTTGCTTAGGATGATTAGTACACAAACATTGACTGGAATAGGCTTACCTCCAGTTTTTGGTATGAACAGCACCTTCTTCTAATCTTAGTAGACCATATCTCGCTGCACTTAATGCCAGACCACGGATACCATCGCCCCATTCTTTCTTTGCACTAGACAAGTTGAAAACGTTCCTGTAAATTGTTTGTTTGACTGGTTGGGTAATTATTTCGGGTATGAAAGTCAGAGTTAACTCTTAACGCCTGCTTGATGTAAGCTGGGCATACTTGTGAACCAAAGTATACATGTTTTAATTAAAGCAACCACTCCAGTTTCCAGATCAACTGAACACTATTTACCCTTTGTGCATGTCATGCACAGTGTCAAATCATCCAAAAATAGTCATAGTTCCTTACCCTTGAAACTCGATATATTTATAAATACCGGCAGCCAGAATGAGAGCCACTAAGGCATAGTACCAACTGGATACAAACATAAGAGTTAGACACAGGCATAGACCAATCAGCGAAGCAAACCTAAACAAAATATCATATTGTTACCATCGGTTGCATCTATAAAACTTTAATGTGCCAGATAATAAAATTGTCTATTCTATCATGAAACCTCGATCTTTTCAATTAGTTTACTAGTCAATCAGCTTCAGGATAGTTGAACGTGATTTGCTGATCATACCAACAGCTATCAAATGCTCTTGACTAACTTGAAAGTTTAATGATATTGTGACGTCATTTCAGAATCGCCAAAAAGAAGAGTCTTACTTCGTCTACATCACATACTTCAAGTGAAAAATAAAATCCGAATACTTGCCAATGATAGAACTGAAAACGCGGTCTCCAATTTGGTGTTTGTAATAAAGACTGTAGAACACAAGCGAGGTTAACAAAACCATAACACATCAAGAAAAACCTAAAAAGTACATTCCGATTGCGATAAATAATAATATACTCAGCATTTTTTTTCATTTGGGAGTCGTGTCGAAGACTCTACATCATTACTTACATTGTGATAATGGGTGCCACTGCATCGAGGTTCGCCACCAGAATACCAATCTCTGCTATAGCGACAGTCAAGAACAAAGCTCGAGTTGGTTCGCCATTTTTTGACGCATATGAGAACAAGTTGAGAAATGGAATGAGATTGTCACGTGATATAGCTTGCAGTAATCTTGGAGCACTATAGAAATAAACAAAATCTATTAGCTCACTTGACCAAACCTGAGGACGTCTGTTATGTAAGATTGAAACTCTGGATCATGGCTGCAGATGTTAGAGAGCCACGCTATGTTCATAGTCTATGGAGCTCCAAATTCAAAATGCGTGCTTCAAAACACCAAACTTAATTACAGTATTTGAATTTAGAATTCTGAAGTTACAGACCAACTCAACAGTTCGATTGGTGTGTGCATGTTTTCCTGTTGTGATATTTTTTCTGCCACCTTCTGGCTGTATGGATTTTTCATACGTTTCTTGCTTGTATAGATTTTTCTCTGTTATCTCTCCTGAATGACTGAAACCTCACCCAGTTAAACTTTGCATTCCAGCACCAATAGTGGAAAGAAGAGAACCAATTAGGATCACCCATTTACTTGGCCATGCAATCTCAGCAACCAATAGCACGCTGCCAATACTTTGACCAAATCTTTAAAAAAAAACATTGTACAGAAGGTTAAAGTGTTGATTTTTCTCCTAAATTGAACAAGAAAAATAAATATCTCACTTGTCTCGTAGCAATGCGCCTTCTATTGTACCGGCGAAGAAGAGAACTGAAGTTAGATCTGTGATTAAAGTTAAGGTGATGTAGAACGATGTCTATGTAAAGGGGAGATACAAGGGACCCACTCTATGAACTAATTTAGTGTCAAAGTTAGTTTGATGAAAGTAGGACTCGTCAAAGTTTCAGGCAGTACGAACAAGTCTTTCTCGGAGTCTCTCTCTGTGATCACAGGAACTTTATATATGGTGTTTATTTTTTTATTAGTTTTACAATATGAAATTGAAGGCACAGACAACAGGACTAATAAAGTCCCAAATTAAGTGTTTACCAGTCTTAAGATAGCAAGGGCTCATATATAAGCAAATGCTGAGGGTTGTACCGCTCCCGGAATTACAAAGTAACTAAGTAAGTAGCAGGTGTGCGAAAAATCAATTCTAAATGAACTTTGATAATATTTGATTTCTAATACAGAGTATGCAATTAGCTCTAAACTGTGTTGCTTCAAACACAAAAGGATACAGACAGTGGATGTCGTCAATATGGCGGCAATTGTTCCTTTCGGAATGGAGCGTTGTGCATCTTTTAAATCACCTGATCTGTTGGAACCTGCCATTATGCCTGAATAATAAGATTTGTAAGCTTTATTGCTGTAATATGATGTACTGATTTTTTATCAGGATTGATAACTCGATTTAAGTAGCGCAGTTATCGATCTATCCGGCTTAGAACTGGATGGGTCACCTAGCCTGATCATAACCAAGAAATTCACTAACCTGTAACCGAAGGGAAAAATATAGCAAGTAGGATAAAAAATGATGTCTTGCTATCAGATTGAATTTCTTGGTCGTTGTCAGCCTTCTGTCCAACATAGACCTCGCCTTTATCCAAATATTGACTATCCACGTTGTCTACAAAACAAGTTCAGTGAAAATTGAGAAATGACATGACATCCCACTATAGAGGTCAGCCTTGAATCAGATATCCTAACAGGAATCGAATCTTTAAACTCTCTTCTACAGCTAGTTTAAGTTACCTACTCAATGCGGATTATCTCACCACCTCACCTGGCGTACAAGGGGTAATTGCCCGTGAAACGGCAAGTGAGTTTCTCTCGCATGTAAATAATTCTATTGTGACTCTAAAATCTTACCGTCAAACACTCCGCTGGACAGACCAGGTGCGCCAGCAATATCTTTGATGCAAGTTGTATTCCAGAAAGATGTGCTCTCAAACAGTTGTTTAATGTTTGTGTCATTCTTTGAACAATGACCATAAGCTTTACTTGCAAGCAACCGGTCGCCAAGCATACATATCCTGTTGGAATTAACCATTTTAACAATTGTTTGAAAGTACAAATTAATAGTTTATTGTAGTCTACATACTTCGTACATCCAATCCATATAATTATGTACTGTATACATCGCCTAATCGCCATACCCAGGCGCTATCGGAACCTTAGAAAGGTCCGTTCAAACATGTTGGTACAAAATCGTTGAATGCATTAGACATTGTGTTGGGTAATGTCTGAAGATCGGTGATCACTGTCGGATCTACTCACAATTAAAATTATCACATGCGGTTTATGTAAGGAGAAAAATTGTGTATCGTTTGTTATAAGGAGAAATTCGATTGTAGTTTTTGAAAGATTAAATAACCTACCTTGTATCTGAACGGGTATGGACGGAGAAGAATCCAATATACGTTGCAAGGATGGAAAGTAAGACACAGGCGAGAAACAGTGATGCACATCTATTGACAACTTTAACACCAATAAACACAACAGCGGCCAGTAGAAAGAGTAGTATGGTGCCATACACTCTCATGTTGTTTAACATTACTGACGAGGTTGCACCACCGCTCGAGCGAACGTCGCCAAACAGCGACATACCAGGAGCAATATAGGTCTGGAAGAGATATAGAATGAAAATATTAGGCTGCTCATTGATTCATTGCATTTAAGATGTGGACTGTTTTTCACTTGTGCACTGTGATCAATTAGCAATTGTTCTAAGCAAAACAGGAAATGTTGTTGTTGTATAGGAAATATAATTCGTTAGGTTTCCTCAATATACAGTATGTTTCCTTATTTGCCCACTACTTAAGGTGGAGTTACACGAGCAACAAAATATCTGCAACTTGCAACAAAATCCGATTTCAACGCATGTTAAGTAGAAATGTCGACACATGTTGCCTTGTGATTTGTAATTTATGTGTAAACATTTTCAATTAACATGCGTCGAAATCAGATTTTTTTGCAAGTTGCAGCAATTTTGTTGCTCGTGTAACTCAACCTTTACTTACAAACACAGTTTGCTTGATGGGAATGTTTCCTACCAAATTCATAAACATTGTTTCCCAAGTGTGATTTTTCTTTCTGACAAATTTTCCTGGTTTGTCCACCTTTGAGAAACATGGCTAGAAAACAATGTATTCTGACTTGCCCACTCTTGAGAAACATTCCGTTACCTCACCAGTATTAACCTACCAAAAGTATTTCAATAGCACCAAGCGTATACATAGAAGACGCAAACGTTGTTCCTAAGTAGAACAATATACCAACAGCGCCACCAAATTCAGGACCTAACGCTCGAGATATCATGAAGTATGATCCACCAGCTGGAAGACAAGAAACGAAAATCAATGAAAGTCTAAACTCTACATGGTACAAACGTGATTCTACATGGAGGATCGACTGTTTTCAGTTATGTATATGCCTGTAATCGTAGAAAAAATGTTCCAAAGTTGAATGACAAAACAATTGATGATTCCCCTTATTACGTTTTCGTAACGCAGCGGCCTGGAATGAAAATATTGAATGTTTTCGCGAATATTTTGCTGTTGGCTATCGCGTACCCAACCCTAGCTTTTTATAAAAGTCATTGCACAGGTCAGGACAAAAAATAAACCATCTTGAATATGAGTGATACCACTATAACCACAATGCAAAGCGCTACGAAAACGTAATAAGGGGAATCGTCAATTGCCATACTCGCATCAGCGTTTCGGGTAGCGGAGAGAACCTGTGTTCCATATTCATGACATGAAAGAAATCATATTATATAATAACTACAGTGAAACACGCAATTTGATTGGTCAATAGCCGTCCAGGATCAGGATATCCCGCACGAGGAATTAAAATGCCTTCGCGGGATTCTCAAAATGTTATTGTTTCACTGTAGTTATTTTATGAAACAATTATCAAATGGTTTTCCAAGCAGGATAGCACTCATCTGCGGCTCGAGTATTTTTACGCTTTCCGAAAGTCTCGCAACATCCCTCGTGCATGGATCACGCAATCCTGCACGGAAAACCATTCGGTATTCCTTTAGTATTATATAACTAGAAAGCTGCATGGGGATTGTTGTGGATGTAACTATCTTTGACGTTTCGAGCGAAGAAGGCCGTCGGGAATTGGTCTTCCTTGTATTTTTTAGGTACTTGTATTCCTATCAATCCTCAGCTTTTCTTATTACTACCACTGCCTACGCTGGCACAGATTGTTCAATATTATATAACTGTTAAGTAGTATTATCATCATCATTATATAAAAATAATTTATCTGTATACTTAACCTGGAACAACTCCATTCGTTGCAATTGCGCTCATTGAAATCGATGTTAACAATGTCTACATGAAAAAACATGTTTGACAGAATATATGACACGTACGACCACAATGAATGGGTATATTTTTTAGTATTGAAATATTTTGTGTTTATACATAGCATGGTATACAGACTTACACAACAGCAACACGTTAAAACAATGAGAAATGCTTCGGGTGCACCAGCTATACCCACAATCCAAGATAGACGAATAAACAAGATCACTCCAAATATATTTTGAATGGTCGGAAAGTAAACACCCATCAAAGTGCCCATTTTTGCACCCTGAAACAAAAATTTTTTTATTCAAGAATCATTTGGGTAAAAATGATATTTTCCGGGAAAAATGATATTTTCCGGTGAAAAAGCACAACGCGAGATTAGCGGACGCACGAAAACGGAAGTTTTTGGAAAAAGATCTACAATCAACGAATGATGATAAAATGGAAGAAAGTAAAAAATATGTATCTTGCCTGTTTTCTTTTTAAGGCAGTTTTGCCTTCTTGGTCCACTTGTGTCGGTGCTGCTTGTACTGCTTCGTAACTTGCCAATTGAGACAATAGAATAGAGACCTTGGGACGTTTGAGCATGTCAGCCTGTGGACGATCATGAAGTCATTGCATTTTAAAAAGTTCTGTCATTTAATTTAACACCACAGCTAGAATTAGAAAGACCGTCTTAGAATGAGTAAAACTGCAAAGATTGGTTGCTAAATGTTGTAAAATGAAGAAAATATAGCCCTGTGAAGTTCGCAAATTTTGTATATATTTGTATTACGCGCGGTAGAAATAACCACTTTCGGCTCAAAAATGGTTATTTTTTCCGCGCGTAATGCAAATATATACAAAATTTTCGAACTTCACAGGGCTATATTTTCCTCATTTTACAACAATTCGCAACCAAACTTTGCAATTTTACTCATTTTAAGATGCTTTTTCCAGCTGTGGTAATGGATTTCGTTCTTCTTGTCTAGATCAAAATTTCATCTATTAATCACCCATTAAAGTTGCTTTTTATTGATTGTCGTGTCAGTATTTGTAGTACTTATAGCTTTTCAAGCATTTTTACAGCTGTTCAAAAAATTTAGGAGAGCCAATACTGTCCTTGCTACTTTCCCTACCTCATATAAAGGCAATGTCCCAGTTGTGGTGTCTTCGTCTTGTTTATTGTAAAGTGGAGCATGGCATTCATCTTCTGGGTTCACCCCGCCAAATATGTCATTTCTGATGTTTGTGTTGCCATCTTTGGAAAATGAAAAATTTTTTGTTCATGTCATCTTGACGTCGTTTGAAACTGAATTTCATTACGTCATTATTGTTTTCAAAAAGACATGAAAAATAGTCTATGAAAAGTAATACCAAGACTTTAGATTTCTGAGTTCCTGACTGGCTGCAGGTTATTAGCATTCAGATCAAGCCTCATCACATTTCATGTTATATGTAAACAACGAGTTTGAGTGTTTCATCAGGGGATCCAAACACGAGAAAACTGTATGAAACACGAGCGCGAAGCGGGAGTGTTTTATTGTTTTCGAGTGTTTGGTCCCCTGATGAAACACGAGAAACGAGTTGTTTACACAACATCTCAAACGAAAACATTTCATTGGCTTATATATATTATTATAGTATATTGTTGTGTTTTGACTTGAATTTGTAATTAGGATCTCAGTTATTAGATGAAAACCGTTTTTCATCTAACAACAGTGATGGTATATGATTTTTAGCGTGTTTCCTTGCGGTATCCAGCCTCAATCATGTGACGAATTAGGGTGAGTTCATTCGCTAATTTGCTCATGAATTATTAATGAGTTTGAGATTTGCAGGTAAGGAACTGTATAGGTCCCGCATATTTTTGTGGAGTGTATGGCAATTCATGATTCTTTAGTCGGTCTTATTAATTGGTCCCAGGATTGGTTTACTGCCCCCAGCAGTATCCCCAAATATGCATTACCTGACTGTATCATTTCTAAACTTTCTAGGTCCAGTAAGGGCCTTCACTTGTTGGTCAAGGGTTACTACAGGAGGAAGGAGTTAACCCACTCACTTGTATTGCAGTATTGCACCCAAATGTGCCTTACTTTATCACTCTGTCAGATGCCAGACAATTTTACTTGTCAAGGGAAGAGTGTGCCTGGTGCTCAATGGGTTTAAAATATATAGCTAAAAAAGATCTGCAATATTTAGCAGAGTCATAAATTTGCAAGAATCCAACTTGTGTTGCTGAGGTGAAATGCATGCCATATGCAAATTTTGCATTCTTGTTCTGGATTGTGACTAAGATAATTCCGTGTGAGGTTCCTTTGGGGGGGGGGGGGAGTCAGAAATTTTGTAGGTTTTACATATGCCTATTGTTTACTGTAAGTGATGTCATTTCTGTTGTTTTTTGTGTACGTGGCAGTGGCAATGTCATCCCGCTATGCAAATATTGCCATGTTTATAATCTATCAACACAATTTCTAAAGAAATGAATGATGAGTTGAAATTTGCATAGCGGGACCAAATCGTCGTGGGGTTCAATAATTTTTCAAAATTTTTTGCATTCATACTAAATTATGCCCCCATGACAATTTATATTAGATCACTGAAGATTGATATTAGATTAATTTATATATTACACCAATTTACTATTGACTACAGGATAGGGACCTCTATTATTGTACCTCTATTATTATTTTACTTTATAGTATGTATTTTTCAACTTTTAAAATTTGTTTTGTTATTAATTGTCACTGTATTATTTACAAGTAATAATGTCACCGTATTAAATTGAAATCATTTGTGGACGATTTCAAATAAAAATTAATAATGCCCGTTTTAAATATTGAACACTAATATTTATATATAGATAATTTTGTCAAGCTCGGGTTTATATAAACCTTAATCATTTTTGATTTATTTAAAAAATACGCTATTAAAAACGTTAAACAATGTACTTAAGCTAAGTAAAACTAAGTGGGTTTTGATCTTTGAATTCCCCCGTCGTGAATTTGTAAACATGGACTTTTTTTAGTTATACATGATTTCAAAATGAAGCGATCAAATTTCCCCTTTGGCCGCGGGGTAGCATACGTTCATACCTAATTCTTTGTTGTCCTCAACAATAATTTCCACATTTTCTGTGTCCTCTGCGTTTTCTTGAATTGTCTCAGGAATCCCACCGTCTGTCTTTGAGACGACAAACCGTGCACTCATTATTCAAATTGTTTTTATTTTCTTGCTCAGTCAACCATGACCAGTTGGTTGTTCATTCCGAAAAATTAAACTTGTGCACATTTGGCGGGCGGCTCAACTTTAGGGTGAACAATTGTAGGTGTTGCGGGTATTTTTTCCAAAATTGTCAAAATTGAACAAAAGGTGAAAAGGTTCAGTTGTCAAAGTTGCCCATTCTGGTTACAGTATCTTTTCATGCACGCAATCACGAAATAAACTAGTCACCCAATCCTTAACCCTAACCTGCTAACTGCTTATATTTCGTGACATGAAAATGTAAACCCTTTTTGGGTGTTTGGAAACTATGGTTAATACGGTTGTATATTTATTTATTGGGAAAATTAAATGAATATTAAATAGAACAAATAAATAATGAATAGAATAAATATTATAAATAAATGATTAAATGAATGACTGATGAATTTATGTTTTACCAGTTTGGCGCGAAAAATTCGCAGCTGTACTTCGGAATTTACCGGAAACATTCGCACATGGTCGACAAACATGGCGGCCTCGAAGGAGCGAAGAATATTATTTTTTTTATAGAAAACTTGTATATTTATCCATGGAATCGAAAAATGCTCCTGATGTTATGTGGTTTGAATTTCTGTTTGACAAAACAGGCACTCTCTTGACAACTCATTTGTCGACACCAAATGCAGGTATAAATTTCTATGTAAATTTGCATGTTTCATAAATTGAATTCAATTCTGAACTATCTACCTTTTTGTGGCCACATAATATTCATATGTTATGCTATATCAAAATTACAAAATGTCAAATACAAGCCAAACAACAATAACATTTACATTGCTATTTTAGCCCCATCGGCAGAGCAGCTTATCACACAATTTCTTGAAAAATCTGGATATATTGCTCCTTGGGTATGAATTTAATAAACAATAATCCTTTTATTATGGGTTTTGTATTTACGACAACCTTCAACCAGACTGCATGTGTTTTACTACTTCACTGGTGTTTGTTGCAGCTGATTGATGTCAATAAACTTAGTGGCATTTGGTGTTCGTAATCTCTGAATAACACATTAACATTCACTCTATAAACCCTAGACTTTTGCAAAGTCTTTTTCAAATGATGTCACTCTATTTTGTGTGGTTCCGCTTTCTGGCTTGTAAAAAAATATGGAAAAAAGTTCTGAGGCGGACTTGTGGCAAGTCTATATAAACCGACAACATACAAACACCCATGAGTTAGTCAAATCCAGACTGCGAAGTATGGCAGTTTTTGAGAAGATCTTGGGGGGTGACAAAAATTTAGGTGTGCAACCTCTTTAAAATTTATTAAAATGTGTGCTTGAGTTGTTGTTAATGTTTAAAATTGCCAATGGGTTATTCTAGAAAACATCTATACCTCTCCCACAGGGGAAGTTGGAAGTTAACCCTCTACCCCCTGTGGATGTCCTAATACACTTATTTGTATGCAAAACAAATGTTTCTCTCCTCCCCCTCCGGTCGGCAGAAATTTCTTCCGTGGGGGGAGTGTGGAAATTTTCTGGAACGACCCAATTAAATGCCACAAATACAAGTTATGTTGGAACAAGTATAGTTATGCCAGTTATTGAAATGTGGACAAAAATTTCTCGGGTGTGGACAAAAATTCTCATATGTTTTGGAAAAAAATTCTCAAAGCCATGTCCTCAAGATGATTTGGACCCAATGTGGATCACAGTGGATGACTTGACCAACATTGCTATCTATTTTCTGTTGCCCAGACAAAAAAGGAAACTGCTACAAAGACTGCTCAGAATGGGCAAGAAAAACAAGATGTGGTTGAGACAAATGTTAAAAGAAAGGAACCATTGTTGTTACTTGCTTTACATGTAGCATCACATTTGGATTGGAACCTAGGTCATTTGGAGACAGGGTTAGTCTCGTGCATGGATTGTGTCAATTGATTCATTGAATATGCTGAGTGATGGTTTTTTAAAATATTCAAATATTGTTTTATAGTCTTCCACTATATGTGCAATATGTGCTGTTACAAGAACTTGTCAAAATGTTTTATAAAGAAACAGAGGTACTTTTTATTCAACATATATTTTATTAGCTTAATATATATTGTATACATTCATGATATTAAAGCCCATCGTACAAAAGGGTGCCTCCCAAAAGAAGCCGGTACATAGCTAAAAAACTCTCTGTAGTGGCTAGAATGCCATTTCAGAGATGCCATCGGACACCACCTAAACTATAAAAAGATCTTCAGGAATGACATTTTTGCTTTTTAATATTTTTGTAGGATATACAACCATCACCAGAATTGCTTAAAGTTGAGAAGAATGCTATTTTCCCTTTGCTCTTGTATTATAGATGGTAAGTATAGTTAGTATACTAATGATACGATTGATATAAATTAGATACTTTTAGATACATTGATATACCCTGTAGTGCACTACACAATTGACCAGTTTCTTGTATTCCCAATTTTTTAGGATTGTTAGATCAATAGTTGATCAAACTTCATCCAAACTAACAGAGAACAACACAAATGAGTATGTCAAACAATACATAATTTATTATATACATAATATATAACCAAAATATTTAATAATCCTAATTATAATTTTGTTTATGACCAGAATATTTAATAATCTTATAAGGTTGCCATTTGCTGATGCCAAAAATGAGAAGAGTGAAATGGAAAAACTAATAGAAAAGGTACTGTAAATATTGTGAAAAGGACACTCTAATTGCTTGAACTGGACTGTCGATATACAGTCTCTGAATAATCTGGATTGTCATAAAATATATACCGTAGTATAGAGATGCATGTGTTCCACCATCTTGTGTGATTCTAATTTCCAGATTGAAGCAGAAGAGACAACAGCAATCAATGTTTTACAGCAAGGTACATCTTGGAAAGATGATCTCACATTTCCAGTGCTGCCGCCTTTGAAAACTTCAACAGAAAATGAAGAGGAGAAAAGGTAGAGTTTTTCACTTTTGTGAATGTACTGTACATTGTCGAGCCCATTGAGATGAAAACACAATACCAAGAAGAAGCTCAGAACTTTTGCTAGATGTTTGCTTGATTCCTCTTGAGCAAAAGGAAAATCCAACCCATGATCAGATATGAAAGGTGGTTGTTCTAGGGACAACCTCAGTATGGGCCACCAGAAACAATGTCACATCCACCAAGCTTCATTGGATTTACTGGAATAGCTTCAGTCAATTGCTTGATTTGGTTGTTCTAAAAAAGATCTACACTCCACCCGCAGAGGAAATTTGTCCCATCCAGGGCCAGGGGAGAACAAAATTGTTTCTTATACTGTAATAGTAGGTGTATTAGGGCATCTGACAGGGGTAGGGGGGTTAACTTCCAATTCCTTCTGTGGGGGAAGTATGGATGTTTTCTGGAATGAGAAAGTGAAGCCATAGATGGCCAAATGATCCATTGTCCTTTCACAGGTACAAGGAACAGATATGAGTGCATGCACCTTGCAAACTTTGCATTTTTTATTTTAGCGAAAAAGATGAAACTAAGATAGCTGGAGAAGGCACTGAGAAAGATGCTGAGTCCTCTGATAATACTATGGATACTTCGGAGACAAAGACGGTGTCGAGTCAGTCCATTATTGGTCAGATCTGTTTTGATCTTGGCACACTTTTTTTTTACAAAGGAAACATTGAGAAAGCCAAAAGTCTGTTTGAAACATGTTCCAGTGTACAGGTAAATAGTACAGGGTTAGCCATATTTGATACAGTACAGAAAGTTCTACTTGTATTCGATCTAGCATAATTTATTGCCCCATACAGCTATAGTAACTATATTGATTATTTAGTGTGCAAGCAATTCATTCTACACTGTGGACAAGAAACGACTATCTGGCTATTACACAGCATGTTGTTCACTCTTACATTGTCCTGTACGAGAAGATCTCGTCAGTTCTCTGTCTTTGATGAGTCAAATGGAACAATGCAAATATGATGGCTATAAGGTACAGTATACTGGTGGCACAGTGATAAGGGTATACAATGGGCACAGAATATAAACCTTACAGAAGGCCGTGACCTCTTGGTTTTGCCTATGATTTTGCATAACCGTTGCAATGCTGTTGCCATGTTCCTGGCCAGTGCGCGTACAAGAGGTATTCACCCCCCTGAAAATGTCCAAAACACAGAACGTCTGGGGGGGG